ATAGTCCTTGTGTACATTTACTTCATTACAAATCACTACTGCTGACTAATGATACATTTTTGAGATGTCATGAAGAATCCTTCCAAGAGACCATCGTGATGCTTTACAGAAAGCCACTCGTTCTACTCGATGATGCACAGGTGCTCAGTGAGCAAGTCTTCTGTCTGATATCCTCGGAGCCACACATGTGTATTTGGCGCAACGCATCATGGGAGATAATCCACTGCACAGAACCAGGAGGACCAGACGATGCCCAAATATGGAGGGAGGGCAAGCATGATTTGCGACTCACGGCAACTTCCGGTGACTCGCGTGGCTCAGGCGCTGTGAGTCACGGCTCAGCAGTCGAGGAGGGTCGGGCCAGCTGTGGGGGCGTTTCCGTTGGACTACAAATACGCCTTAGTGGGGGTTACTGTAAAGTTTCAACAGCCAATCACCAATCAGTATCAAAATACGCTTTCAAAATAACCAGCAACACGGAATCTTGGTTGAACCGCACGTGAAACTCACAGCGAAGGTGTCACTACGTGTGTTCTACATGTCCGTAAGTATAACTTGTTTTAAGCAATTGCATTCTTTCCTAATCCAACCATAGAACTAACGCAATGCTAACCGTAAGTAGTAATCAAAAGTATGCATTCAAAGTTGAACAATATCGGTGACAAGGCTGTTGGCTACACTTACTTAGCCATGCGGTCATTAGCGTTGGTTTGCTGCTACTAAACAATTTCACAGTTGTTTCAATCAATCAATCAATCAATCAACGTTTATTTATAGAGCGCCTTTCCTACACAAGGCAACGCAAAGCGCCTCACAACCCATATAACATCATGCATAAATCATCAAACATTAGAATTTAAGTAAACATAAAAAGACAGATTAAGAGCACAAGATATATAAAATCACACAAGTAGTTAAAAACCGTAAAAAATTAAAATCACACAAGGGATTACAGTCATAAATAATCATAAATAATCATAGCGCATTAAAAAGATTAAAGATAAAAACAAATGTAAAATCATTCACTTGTATGCACAGCTAAAAAGAACTGTTTTCAGTTCAGTTTTAAAAACTGCTAGAGTAGACGCCTGTCTCACACTCTCGGGAAGACGGTTCCAGACTCTAGCTGCATGAATCTGAAACGCAGCCTCCCCATGTCTAGTTCCGACTCTTGGCACTAACAGAAGTCCAGTCCCTGTGCTCCTCAGAGCCCGAGTTGGTTCATATGGCACCAACATGTCGCGGATGTACCCTGGTGCGAGGCCATGGAGAGACTTGTACACAAGTAAAGCTACTTTAAAATCTATTCTCTGAGCCACAGGAAGCCAGTGCAGAGACCTGAGGACCGGACTAATGTGGTCGTACTTCCTGGTTCTAGTCAGGACTCGAGCTGCAGCATTTTGGATGTACTGCAGCTGTTTTACCGCTTGTTTAGAGAGACCTGTGAACAAGCCATTGCAGTAGTCCAATCGACTGGAGACAAATGCGTGGATAAGAATCTCCAAGTCTGCTTTAGACACAATGTTTTTAATTTTAGCAATGTTTCTTAGGTGGAAGTAAGCTGATGATGTCACAGATGATATGTGGCTATTGAAATTCAAGTCTGAGTCCATTATTACTCCTAGATTTCTGACCTGAGTTGAGGGTTTCAGGGAGAGAGACTGGAGGTGGCAGATAACGCTCTCTCTTTGTTTCTGAGGTCCGAAAACAATAATTTCAGTTTTTTCTGTGTTTAGCTGGAGAAAGTTATTTTGCATCCAATCACTGATCTGTTGGATACAGTGAAGGAGCGAGTCCACTGGTCCATGTTCTCCTGCTGTCAGGGACACATAGACCTGAGTATCGTCAGCGTAATTGTGATAGGACACGTTATTACTGTGTATTAACCTACCCAGAGGCAGCATGTAAATATTAAACAGGAGAGGCCCCAGGATTGAGCCCTGTGGCACTCCGCAGGTCAGGGCCAGATGGTCTGAGACACAGTTTCCGATCTCCACAAAATACTTTCTGTCCTGTAGGTAGGATATAAACCAGCTTAGGGCTGTTCCAGAAAACACCAACCCAGTCCTCAAGTCTCTGAATGAGGATACCATGATCGACAGTGTCGAAAGCAGCACTCAAATCTAACAGGATAAGAACTGAGACTTTTCCTGCGTCAGTGTTAAGTCTGATGTCATTTGTTACCTTCACTAGAGCGGTCTCTGTGCTGTGGTGGGGTCTAAAACCAGACTGGAACATATCAAAAGAGTGATTGATTATTAAAAATTCTGTAAGTTGTTGATAGACAACTTTTTCTAGAATTTTACCCATGAAAGGCAGATTTGAAATGGGCCGATAACTTTTAAGTGCCAAGGCATCCAGACTCCTCTTTTTTAGGAGGGGTCTGATGACTGCCGTTTTCAGGGCCATTGGGAATGTTCCAGATTCAAGAGACATATTTACTATATGCGTGAGTGAAGGTAAAAGACTGCTCAGAACAGATTTAAGAAATCTAGGAGGTAATACATCCAGGCTACATGTAGAAGAACTCAGACTTGTAATTATCATTTGGACAGTTTCATTTTGTACTGGTGTAAAGTGTGTCAGCCCAAAAAGCTTCACTGGCTGTTGGATTGTAATTTCTACTGTGGAGGTGATGGCATTTTTGATGCCTTGGACTTTGTCATTAAAAAACTCTGCAAACTCATTACATTTGGTTTTGGAGGTAAGCTCTGATGGCATCTTAACAGGGGGATTTGTCAATTTATTTACCGTTGAGAACAGAACGCGTAGATTGCCACTACAACCTTCGATTGTTTCGGAAAAATAAGTTTCCCTCGTTCTACGTAGCACACTGTTGAACTTGCACAATGCATCTTTGAAGATCTCATGGTCAACTTGGAGATTTGACTTTCGCCACTTCCGCTCGGCTCTCCGGCACTCTCTCTTCTGTGCCCTGACAGAGTCTGCTTTTGTCCATGGCGCCTTTTGCTTATTTGTAACAATTTTGACCTTTACAGGAGCAATCGTGTCCAGAACATCCAAAACACTAGAGGTGACAGAGTTAAGTAATTCATCCACAGTAGAACACAACGTGTTATCAAAGTTTATCATCCCCATGAAAAGTTCACCTGTATTTTTGTTTATGTGTCTTCTTCTTCTAACAATTGAGGATTCAGCTCGTGCTTTACTATTGAGACACATATCAAAAAATACACAGAAATGATCTGACAGAGCAACATTGGCCACATTTACATTTGAGATATTAACCCCTTTAGTAATTAGCAGATCGAGAGTGTGTCCTCTGCTATGGGTGGGGCCACTCACATGCTGAGTGAGACCAAAGGTTTCCAGCACAGAGCTCAGCTCTTTCGCGTATCTATCATTAACGTTATCTACATGTATATTAAAATCACCTATGACGACTAAACTATCAAAGTCTGTGCACACAACTGAAAGCAACTCGGTGAAATGATCAGTGAAACTATGACATGACTGTGGCGGCTTGTACACAACAATAATAAGAATAGAAGATTGTTTTTGTTCTATTTTAAAAGAGACATACTCAAATGAGGAAAATTTCCCAAGAGGTACTCTATGGGAGACAATACAATCTTTAAAAACTGCTGCTGTGCCTCCTCCTCTTTTATTTTCTCGAATTTCTGATTCAAATTTGAAATTTGGTGGTGTTGTTTCTATTAAAACTGCATTTTCTGTATTATGGTCAAGCCAAGTTTCAGTCATAAACATAAAGTCAAGATCATAAGAACAGATAAAATTATTAATTAAAAAGGATTTATTGCATAGTGATCTGACATTAAGCAGAGCAAGGTTAAAAATAATGTCAGTGTCAGTGGGTTTAGTTGATTGACTACAAAGAATTGGAATTAGATTTCCTGAGTTGGACCGTCTAACTGCTGTCCTTCTGTTATATTTGTGTTTATTCAAATTAAAACACATTTCTGAGCCGGTGCGAGGAACACAAACAGTCTCTATTGGTTTAAAAAGTGAACTCTGTTTTACTTTGTTAAGTTCCAGATGCATGGCTGAGTAAGCACCGTTCAGTGGCAGGACTGGTATTACACTGCCAGACGGACAGGGGTCAGTGTTTGCACCACAGTACTCACCCGGTGCTGGAGTGGAGGAGGAAGGTGGTAGTGGGGGCCGAGAGGCCTCGGATGTAAACAGTCACGCCCCCCTCGGGGAGCACTGATTCTGTTTCTTCATCACAAATCATGTAGCGCTTGTGTAGTGTAGATACTCAAACAATAGCGCCATTCGCAAATGTTTTATTTCTTTATTTGTCAAAACAAGTAATGTAGCATGATCATAATTCATACGGTTCTTTTGTTTTAAGGATCATTTGTCAATATTTCGCAGTGGCCAAAGGCCACAAGCGGAACGATGCTCCGACCCCAAGTGCCCTCTACTGCACTGTCCCTTTTGTCCGAATTATAAGGGGATTTTGCGAGGGTGGAAGTGCATATACAAAGCCACCAGAAGACTGTGGTACGTTACGGAGGTATGATGTATTTGCTTGGTTATTACTACTTTTGAAGATGATGATGCAAAAGGTATAATATATCACATGTAGTAAATTAATATTATGTTAAGTTGATCTAGAATTATTATTTTGTCACTTTTCTTCACTAACATGAATCTGGTCAGTAAAACTATTGCTATTTAGGGCCCATTATTTGATTTAGTTTCATGTTGGCCACTAGAAAATTTTATTTATAAAGTAAAATTGCCAATAAATGTAATGAAAAGTTATTCTTAAATTTTAAAACTCTTATGTGAAAAACGTTTCTTCTGATCTCAAAATGCTTTGCATATGACATCAAATTTTCAAACTATACATGAAATGTTTTCTATATTGTTTACTAGAAGAACTATGAGTAATGAATACATATATTTTTCCTACAGACGTTGCCATTTATATGTGCAACTGGGGCTGCAGAGGTGGTTGTCACTTCCACTGCTGTTTCTGTTCAAATACATTTCCGAGGAGAAAGGCAATCCTAAAACACCTTAATACCTGCCTGTCCCAGAACCAGCCACCACTGCCCACTCTGCCCCAGAACCAGCCGCCTTTGCCACAGGACCAGCCGCCTCTGCCCCACAACCAGCTGCCTCTGCCCGCTCTGCCCCACAACCAGCTGCCTCTCCCCGCTCTGCCCCACAACCAGCTGCCTCTGCCCGCTCTGCCCCACAACCAGCTGCCTCTCCCCGCTCTGCCCCACAACCAGCTGGCTCTGCCCCACAACCAGCTGCCTCTGCCCCACAACCAGCTGCCTCTGCCCCACAACCAGCTGGCTCTGCCCGCTCTGCCCCACAACCAGCTGCCTCTGCCCGCTCTGCCCCAGAACCAGCCGCCACAACCCAGAACTCGCAATTCCACTAATTTGAAGAGGGTACAGTGCACCATTTGTAATGTTGACTTGAACATTAAGTACTTAAAACAGCATATGATGCGCCAGCACCCCATTGCTAAGGAAGATATCAGAGTTGATCGACACTTGCCAAGCCAATGTCTGGACATTAGCTTGGGCATATATGCTGTTGCAAAGTCATTCAACAGTAATAGTGCACCAATTCATGTTAAAAAACAAACCACAGGCACAAACCACCAAATCAGCTGTTCTTTAGTTGCCTGTCACCACAAAACAGAGGTAATGCATAGAAGCGGCTTTACTTCTTATGAATGTGCTCACATACAGTCTTTGAGGTATTGTCCACCACTCTTCATCTCCAATATTCAGCTTGAGAACGATGTCCTGACAAAAATAGTAGACAGTAAATGGTTTAGTGAGGACAAAAAAATGTCTTGTTTGCTGAAACAAACGGCGGCAAAAGAAAAGTGCATTCCTCTCAGTATTGATGTTAAAGTTAGAAGTTCGGCAAGGAGAAAATTTGTTTCAATCTATGAGCCACTACATTCATACAGTAATCACTTTGGCAGAATAATGGTTATGTTTGACACAGTGAGAAATACTTGGCACTGCCATTGCACAGCTAAAAAACAGACATGCATCCACAAATGCATTGCAAAATGGCACCTGTTCCAAACAATGACAGATCACTTCACAAGTAATGTTAATGATGACATTGATGAGAGTGACGTGGCTGAAGAGGACCCTGAAACTGAAAATGGTACAGAGCAGGGCCCGTACATGTATCCCCTGCAATGCGAGGACTTAAAAAGAATGGTCAAATATATTCATGCCAACAAAAAGCTTCCTGGGGAATTTCCTTCATGGTTTTCAGACTTGTCAAGTGAGGCTGAACTGCCAAGACATTTAAAGCCAAAAGAACAAACTTGCCCTGAATGTCCCTCTTTGTGACGCCATTGTCATAACAAAATCTGCAAAAATAATAACAATCAAGGGAGCCATAGAAGGTTAGTGTGATATTACATAATGTAAATGTGTTCATATATGTTTGTATTGAGGTGTGACAACATACTTCAAAAAATGCGATGTGTGTGGTTTGAGGTTACGATATCAAGAGTATGAGGATGGACTACACAATTTCAATGATCAAATCATTCTGACCATCCATTTTTGTCTGTACCTCAGAAAAACGAGGCAACAACAGGAGTACACAGAGATGGACATAACTGAGGACAGGCTGATAGATGAAATATCAAATTTGAAGGTTTAACTTTTTTGTTTATTTTATTTATGTCCATTTGTTCTTTTTCTAGGATTGAATGTAATATTTACTATGTAAATCTAATTTGCATTATAGGTTCATGCCATCCGGAAACTCTGCACTGAGTGCAAAGTAGATTCCAAAGGATCAAAAATGGAGTTGATCATGCGTTTGCAAAAGGAAATGGAGACGAGAAGCAAATATGATAAAGTATTTCAAAAAGTTTGGAGTGCATCAGGTAATTAACTTGTACACGGTACTGTGTCCTTTTTTTCTTATTCACATTGTATTTTTGCACCACAGGAGGCTGGGCAGTGATCATGTGGACAAGTGTTGTCCATAAAATTCAATATTAGGGCAAAAAGTCCACGCAACTTTACTGACTTATTGCTTTCTTGGAAACATCTACCAAACATTTGCCAATATGACTTTGCAAGGGGCCTAGCTGTACATGCCAATCTCAGAGAGCCGAGTAATGTCCCTTTCAGCCCACATGAGGGAAGACTGCTTGACCCCAGCCCTGAAAACATTGAATGGGCTTCCAGTGGGGGCACTCTGAGTTTACCCTGGCTGACTTCCAAGAAGAACCTCCCAGACCCGAATGGGCTTTGTTTAATAAACATTATTTGTGAAAGTGTTTTTTGTGTAGATACACTTTGAAAGGTGTACAATTACATTTTTGTAGTGTGTATATATGTATAGTATGTGTAATGTGAGATAAGATATTCCTTTATTCGTCGCAGTGGAGACATTTCAGTGTCATCGTTGCATATTACAGCAGAATAAAAAGGAAATAAGAGCACTCAGATTGCACACATCAAATAGTCTATTATTTAAGATAATAGACAATTGAATGAATATAAACTCTGGAGCTATATTTGCACTTGGTTCAGGAGTATTTACAGCTGTGTACATGGTTTATATAGTCATTGTTACATCACAGATACGTCACACATCCAGAGACAATCAGCATATTATAGTCATAACATGGATACACAATCAAGAGTTCTTGTAGAGTCTTGCTGTTGTCCACCTGCGTAGGCCATATAGCTATCTGATTCCCATAGAGCCAATAATTGAATCGTAGTACATATGGACTAACAGAAGATCATGGACAGTTGGTTTCATTTGGATATGGCCCAGTAATTGGCAATAAAGACTAAAAGTCTGGTTTCTTCAGTTAGCAGCACAACATGTACAGCGTTCATGAATTAATGCAACCATCTTGTTTTCACACTTAAATGTTGTAATGAATAATATCAAACTGATAGTTAAAAAATAATACAGTGGACCACTGTGCACCTGTATAGACGGTAGCTCACGAGTACCACCAGGAGGGAACATTTCTCGGTAGACTGTAAAACCCATAGATATATCTTTATTTTAAAAGAACTGTCTATCATCAAGAACAGCATTGACATCGTTCTTATTTTGTTCTTATTTTGAAAAACCGAATGAGATCGGATGTGTTCAGCAGCGAATTAAGAAGGAGGAGGCGTTTCTGTATTTGAAGAGGGTGTTCCTGTAAGCACATGAACGCCCCTTTTAAGCTGCTGGCCGGATGATATTGCAGCAGTCAGGGGCCGTGGCTCACGGTTATCAATTTTGCTTTTTAGGGGTATCTGTGGATTATTAATGACACATTGTGGATCTGGAGGCATATATTTACAAGTAATCAGTATGTTACACACTCTTCATCATCTGGTATGTGTTTATATAGCTCTCCATGTTCGTTAACCACTGACTCAGGAGCTGTGAGTCGCGGCTCAGGAGCTGTGAGTCGCGGCTCAGGAGCTGTGAGTCGCGGCTCACGGTTAAAAATACAGCATATTTTTGCTTTTTAGGAGTATCTGGGAATGATTAATGTCACATTATGGATCTGGAGGCATAGTTTACATGTAATCAGTATGTTACACACTCTTCACCATCTGGTATGTGTTTACATCGCTCTTCATTTACTGTTAACCACTGACTCAGGAGCTGTGAGTCGCGGCTCAGCAGTCAGAAGTCATGGCTCACGGTTAAAAATACCACAAATCTTTGCTTTTTAGGGGTATCTGGGAATTATTAGGGGCAACGGTGACTTAATTGGCAGAGCTTTGGTCTTTGGACCTAATGATCGTGGGGTCGTGCCCCCACAACCACCTGCTCCCACTGAAGCAAGACGCCCCATCGTGGTATCTTCTATAGTCATGGGACCTCATGAATGAGTATGAGCACAAGTATGTGGAAACGGCACAATACTAATATTGGTATTGGTGCATCCTTTGTAAAATAAACAGACTATGAAAAAAAATGTCAGTATTAGCAGCGCAGGTTTACAGTCATAGTGCAAGTAGTTGATTTGGTGATATAGGCCTAAATACAGATTATTGCAGGTTTTTGCAGGGCTTATTGCATATTCTAATGAATACAACTTTTTAGGGGTATTTATGAATTATTAATGTATCTGGATGAACATTTTCCATGTTATCAGTGCCTTATACATACTTTACCAGCAGGTATGTGTTTGTATTACTCTCCATATATTGTTAACAAGTGACTTACGAGACATTAGTCGCGACTCGTCTGACGACACCAGAGGGCGCTGTCTTAACTCATGTTGAGTCATGCACGACGTTGGACATCTTGCTTGCAATTTAAATTTCACCAAAATATGGAGGTAAGTTATTTTGTCTCGTTTTCTGTAGTCTGTCTTTTCATCATTTAGTGAACATTTTAAAGGGCATGACATTTAAACAGGAAAAAAGAAACAAAAAAAGAATACACAAAATGTGCAAATACAGAGCAGAGTGTATACTCCACAGGACAAAAGATGAGGCAAGGTATATGACACAGGTTTTGTCACATAAGAAATAAATAACCAAAAAACCACTGAGACATTATTATTTGTTATTTATTTATAATGTTCAAGGCATTTGAAAAAAATACATACAATACACAAACAAACACAATTATATAAGCCACTAGTACCAAATTGTCCTTATAATGTGGATGACAAAGTGAGCCAAGTACCCAGAGTAGATTTCTTTGTCATTGAACCAACACAACAATCTTTGCATTCCATTTTAGGGCATTGAAATCAGGGCATTTTCATTCTAAAAAAAATATTGTCAACTTTGGAGGATAGTGTGCTGAGGTGCACTTACTATTGTAAATAGAGAATTAAAGAGAAAGACCCTAATGACATAATTTTATATGATCATGTTACCTAACCCAGATGTTCAAAACACAGAATTCAAGTAACTTCTGTTGTGGTGAAATGTTTGAAGATGCTTATTTGAGCCTTTGGTGGCCCAGTGGCTGTATGACTGCTGCACGGCACCTGTACTTTCCCTCATAACTGCCTCCGTGATGATCCTGAATCAAATGTTTTAGGGTTTCCAAAAAGTGTAGATCTTTTATACCCTTTAAACATTTGTGTCCTGGAGCATTATACAGGACACAAATGCAGTGAAAATACAGGTGTCATGCTGCACCCATCAAGACATTTTTTTCTCCTTAATTCCTCTTTTCTCTCATTTCTTTTCTGTGCAAAAATGAAGTGTAGTTAACCGGTTATTCTTGAATTGCAGAACTACTGAGACGACACCTCAAGATGAGCCACACACAGAAGAGAAGGAAAACAAACTATATAAAACAAATGCACAAGATAATTCACTTTTATAGACTAATTATAAAGAATAAAGATTTGGTTTAAGTTTGATACATTTCAGTTTTGCACTTTTATGGCTGTAGCTAATACATTTGTACACATTGCACTATAACATGAACTTTTTTTTCCCCACAACAACATGAGCTGTTACTTTGTCTCCCAATACAGGAACATATATATACAACGCATTCATTAATAGCAGCAGAGTGGTGCCGCAACACATCACTGGAAGGACATGTTGAGCTACCTTCACTGCAGAGTGAGCTCTTCGCCAACCTTAAGAAATCCAGTACTGATAATGAGGAGGAAGAGGAATCCCCTTATCAATATTTACTGTTCACTTTTGAACTAAAAAGTGACTTTGAAAGTTTCATGCAAAACTGTGTGCACGTTAAGAAACTAAAAGTGTTTGCTAAGTTCCAGGTATAACAGTAATTGTA